CTTTAAAAGTTTGAAATACCATGCCTGTACTTATGAGTTGTGCATAAACTATGCATGTTAATCTTCTGGTCCTGCAAAAATTGATTCGTGCTTTGTTTCTTGTGAACTTACCCAATGATTGGGAGACAATTTGAAACTCTTGTAAGTCTTGTTCTTTTGTAAGTCTGCCCTCAGCCTTAAATAGCAAATTTTAAAAAGGCTAATTATCTCTTTCCAGATTTACTATTTCTTCTGGGACTCACTTCCTCTGTGTGCATAGTGACTGAGATCATAAAGAAGTTTGAAAGAAGCAAGGAAAAGATCCAGAAACGTGGAAGTTCTTCTTCGTCAACTTCGTCTTTTCTTGATGTATGATGCATATTGCATTCTTTTGTTTGCAAACTTAGGGATTGCTGTCTAAAGATGTAGGAGAAAGCAAAACAATATTTGGAGGATAAAGAAATCCTGAGGGCTTTTGGCAAGTCCTTTGTTTCACTGGCTAATGATGAACGTTCATGTTTCAAGACTGTTTAGAATTTAACTTCCAGCTGTGGGAGTAACAAATGAAATTATGCAACTTTGGTAACATTTTTCCTCAAACATAAATTTACTTTTGAGATTGAACGGGATTTTCTGAGGGGGGGGGGGGAATTTAAAGAAAGATCTAAGCCCAAGTCCCATTTTCTGCACTTAAAAGATATAACTGTGTAAAATCCTTCTCTTAGATATAAATATTTTAGTTTGTTTTTATTTAAAACATTGTACTATTTTACTTTTATGGTGGTGGGACTTTGCTACTAATACAAGGATAAAAAAATATTTCAGAGGCATTCCACTGAGTTTAGAGTCTGTCACAAGAGTGCCATATTCTAGCTACTGTATTTATTTCCTTTATCCTGCAATGTATAAGCGGCTCAAGTACCTTGTGCTACAGGTTTTTTTGTATCCCAAGTTTTTTTTGCACAGGATGTGACCGCTGTCGGATCACTGTTTTTCTTTTCTTTTTCTGTGATTGAAAAGCCTATACTGCAATTTGAAGTAAATGTTTGCTTTTCTTAAAAGTGTGTTGTCTCTTTGTTTTAAAAGAAACTGGCATTTACACCAGATTAGCATGCTTGTTTTGATATAATTTTAGATATAAGCTTTGTTCCATGTCTTGTTCCATATTTACTTTAGCTTATGACTGTTAGATCACTTGAGTGATTATAAAACAGTACTGTTACTGAAATGATTTGTAGTGTATTGAATTAGAAAATGAATGCACTAATCCTCACTCCAATGGCAAAAAAATGCCACCCCTTTTTTCAGAGAAGCTTGGTTTTCTTTCCCCCTCCTTCTTCCACCCTGATCATAAAAATAAACTTTTTACTGGTAGTGTAACTTAAAACTTTAACTTACAGAATGACTTTTTGTCGCTAGAAAAGCGTTATAATAGATTTGTGTCTTGATAAGTTAGAAGTGTTTTTAATACATGATAATGTCTGAATACTCTAATATTCACTAATTGGAAATGGTGTTCTTCCTCAAAATAGACTTGCAGCTGTTGTCATCAGTGTCTTCTCATCAGAGTAGGACTCATCATCCCTTAGGAAATGCAAGGAACAATCACCTTGGGAATCTTGAAAAGAGGATGCCTAAGGTCTCTAGGGGGAGTTGGAGATGTGATGGTATCTCTTTTGCTTGAAAGCACGTGGATACACATCTTTTCACACTGTAGCCTGAAAGTGTAGCATTGGTGTTGGCTCTGGGCCCTGCTGTCATGATGGCATCCTGTCGGTTGATGAGGAATTGTATACAGGCACTAGGATATTTCTGCCCTTACCTTTGTGGCTTGCCCCGCATGCCATGGTCAAAATCTGGGGAGTTCACGGAAAACAAGGCAGTTTGGAAAGTGCTGTATAAATTTCTCTGCTAAGAGGTTATTTTAATTGTTCTTGTCCTTTTTGCCTCTGGAGATTCCCAGACTTGATCAGGAAGTGGGGCTGCAGACAGGACATGAGTGAGTGCACCATTGAGTCTGCTTTACACCTGCAATTCATACATTGCTCTGGCTGACCCTGGGCCTGCTCAGTATGCATGTATGACCCGGACTACCAATGTGCTGGAGATCTAATTGTGTAAAGGCAAAGACTGTGGCATATGGCCCTCGTCTCTTCCTGCAGGATGTTACGTGAACCACTGAGCTGGTAGGGCCTGCACAAGATGAGCTCTTGCAGAAATGCTCTCATGTCTTCAAGCAAATGTTTCTTATTTCCAGCAGTTCTGCCTTTCAGGAGTTGAACAGACTTGTCAGTGTTCCTCCTGTTGAACTATTACTGTCTTTGGCAAGTGGGGCTGTAGTTGTTCAGTATTGTTGTAGTGTGCTCAGTATTTCAATACAATTTCAGAACACTTACTAATAAAATCCCTATTATTCTTCAGTAAAGACAGATGGTAAAAACTGACAATGCATGCTGATGAAGAATCTCTTGAAAGAACTTGGTTTTGAGAAAGTACAGCAACTATACCTTTCACATAGTATGTCTTAACTTGTTGTTGGATATTCTTCTGACTGCTTTGTGCTCTGCACTTCATCTTGGGGTCCCAGAAATCCAGGTAAGTACAGAAGTACAGATGAACTCCAATTTGTCGTCTTAGCTTGGAAGTGTTATTGCCCAGTCTTTAAACAAATTTTATGAAGTACCCCTTTCCCAGCACAAGTCTCACTTTCTGAATAAGGTGTGTCGGTCTAGACAAGAAATAAAATTTCAGTCTCTTAAGAACAATTTTGCCTTCTTGCAGGGTGAACTTAATTGAATGCAATTCACTTTAAATATGCCAAACTAAGTTTTTCTGTGTTTTCTAATGGAAGATAAAACAGTAGCAAGTAATATATCTAGCTCAATCTCATTATTTATAAAAAATGCTTGGACTGAATTCCGTTGCCCCTTTCTTTGGCTCCACTCTTGATCATTACCACCTAACAGCAAGTTTGAGAGATTTTTCTCCAGAGCAATTGAATCAATAGTGGGATCTTTCCACAAAAATTAAGAGGCATTTCATGTGGGGTGAAAATAGGCAGCAGCCAAGGAATTTAGTTGCTCTTACTAAAGCATGGAATGAAGAACTTTTCAGTTTTAGTAAGTAAAGGCCCTTTATTTTTTATTTTTCCTACAAATAAGATTGAAAACCTATAATGACTCAAAAAGGAAAACTGGAACATTTGATTTAAATTCTGCACGGTAACCCTAGAATCAGTAATTATTTTCTTCAGCATATAGGATTGGTGTTTGCAATGAGGTGTATTTCGTTTTATCAGCAACAAAGAACAGCTGAATTCTGCATTGAGAACACATTTCCAGTCGAGTAATTCTTAATCATTGAGTCAACACTCCCAAAGGTATTCTCAAAATGCCATGTGATCATAGCAGCATTTTTACCCCAAAGTGGAATATTTGAGTTTATCCCAGTCTTCTGAACTATCTAGTTGAAGATGATGCTTCTCAGCAAGTCTCAAGAATTTATGTTCTCCAGCAGTTTTCCAATATGGCATTCAGAGTAAATTAAGATCTCTCTTCTCACAGCACTAACAAAGTGGAATCAAACATGCCTGTATCTTTATATTTAAGACTTATTTTAAATGTGACTATTTCCAATGACTAAAAACCACAAGGAACTACAAGCTTGGTAAAATGAAACACGTGGGATCATAATGGATCACAGGATGATTTGGATGATTAAGGATTTAAGTTTTAGTTACTAAAATCAAGCAGTTTACATTTAACCCCTTTCAACTTTATTTAAAGTCATCTGATGGAAATGTGACTTTGTAGACTGCTGCAAATAGAAGTCTATTTAGAAATACGTTGTGAAGTTCTAGTAATGTGCTGTATTGTTGAGCATAGGTGCCATCTACTGGTAGTTTAGTAAGTGGCAGTTTTCTTACTGGAAAAAATGTTAAATATCATCACAGACTATCTCAAAAATAGCTTTCCCATTAATGTAATAGATATTATAAATCTATTCTCATTGAATATATGATGGCAGTGTCAAGACTCAGCTGTATATCAAAGATCCTTCCTGTAAGTCACAAGATCTAGTGAGTTACTTCCACGTGGATAGCTGTTGATAGGTGATGTAACCAGGACTGAAAACTGAGCACACAATGATGCAGGAATCAAGCTTGAATTCTGGTAAGTAATGGGCAAAACTTTAATGATTAAAGGTAGAAATCATGGTTTTCCTGAATGTAAGAAAAAGTATATGGATTCTTGAGGAGAAAAAACAGAAATGTAGTAATTAGATTTTACTTGGGGAAGACACTGGAAAACCAACAGTCTTACAAGATAAGCCTTTATGTAAATTGACTAATTTTGCTGGAAAGTTAGCTAATACAAAGCACTGAGAAATACTGATGATGTAGGATTTTTTCAAATATAAATTGTTTTTCAGTATTACCATGTTGATAGTAAGGGTTTGTCAAGTAACTTAGTGTACATCAGGGCAAGTTAAACAGGTCTGTTAATTTTATAGCCATTAGAGAAGGTTAACTCCAAACGACAACAGTTTGTTAACTGCAGAAGAACATAAGAAGTTACTCTGAATTAGCAAACAAACCATGTGGTAGCTTTGTTTATGCACGTAAGCATTTAACTCTTACATACTAAAACGGGGGGAGGGGGGGATAGAAGCTGAAGTTTATAATACTGCAAGCACAACTTATTCAGTTGTCACCGAGTAAAGCTAGCTCTCCCCAAAAGTACAAATACTCTACCTGCAAAGATTGATTCTACAATATTTTTAAATTTGTCGATTTCCATTTTAATCTGATCTGTAAGATTGTAATCACTGTGTTCCTCAAATGCAAACTTAAAAATAGGATTTTTTGGAAGTTAGAAGTGTTCAGGGAGATGGAGGGATAGCCAACTATAAATGTCCAGGGAAAGAATTCCTCTAAAATACTCCAGCTCTGAAATGCTGAACAACTTTGCTCTCATTTGCAATTAGACTGATACCTTTAAAGAAAAACAAAACACCACCACTTTTATAGAGCACTTTTTTTATAAGAGTGTTAGTTACAAAAAAGTAAATAAAAAAATTCCCTGATGCAAGAATTGTTGGTAAAGATTGAATCAGGAACTTGTGTGAAAATAGCTGAGCAAATTCCAATAGTTACATATTTTAATACAATTTCTTCCATCTGCCTGGCATTAAAAGTTATTTCAGGAATAACGCTTTCAGTCATCCACTCCAAGTGATGCAAACCTATTAACGTTGCATAAATGCTGAGTTTCTGGTATAGCACACCTGATGGCTTTTTTTTTCTTATTAGATGCTTTCTTCTTTTTGCAGGACTCAGATTTGGTCTTGGTCATCTTCTGAAAGAAGTCTGGAGGTAAAGTTGACTCCACTGTATTTAACAAAATCTGATAAAGCTGAGTCATTTTTGGAGATGAACTAAACAGATTTTCCACTGAAGATGTTGATTTAAGCTCTTGATACAGTCTGTGCACAAGGGTCCCACTGTAAAGCCTGCTCGAAGGAGAGAATCGTCATTTAAAATCACACCTCAGCAGGACAGGTACAGAACATGCTGCTTAGTGAAAAAACAGATCTTAACTACATACAGGATTCAACACGGGGCTCCTGAGGCATACTTATTCTACTCAGTATTTTTCTCCATATTAATATTTTTCAAGAAGGGAGTTCAAATGTAGTAAAATTGGCCAAAGAAGTTTGACATAGAAAATAAAACGTGAACACGTTTCCTCAGGCGCTTGGGTGGAAAGCAGATCTCTGAAACATCCTTACCTAGTTAGGTCTGGCTCAGAGAGAGGAGTGCAAAGTAGCTGGTTGAGATACAATCCCATCTGAAGACAGCACTGCCACTGGCAAAAACTGTGTGCAGCATCTAAATCAAAGTCTTTATTTTGCAGTTTCTTTTCCTTCCATTTTAGAAATTCGTTATATGCAATACTGTCATCTTCAGCACGTACAACTGTGGGATCTAGATTATAAATAAAAAATGACATGCAAATAAATGTTCTGCTCTGAGCAGTATGAAAGGTGTCAGCAATGTACACGGTCTTCAAGCCTCCAGTTCTATTTCAGGAAGCATTAGTAATGTTTTCAAGTGTCTCAAACTGAACTTTAAAACATAAAACTGAGAAAAAAATTCAAGTATTGATATCCATGAGAATCTGAAATTGTGAAATCAGGAATTCTATTTGTTAGGTAATTTGCTACGCTGTTCTGTGAGTGGATCAATTCCAAACAAGATTTCCATCTTGCTTGCACCCACTTGGGAAGCAGGTTGCAACCACATCAGTCCAGTTTCTATAAACTAGAACCTAAAACTGTATAACCCTGCATGTGTAATCTTTGCCACGGAATGAAGGACTCCAGGAGGAAATGCCACCATAACTCTAATAGGTATAAATATTACTGAAAAAATTTCTGTGATAGTTTAGTACTCTCAAATTCTCTCAATGCACAGTGCCTATGCGACTCAGCATTTTTAATTACAGATGATTTTAGAAAAACCGATAGATTTTGAGGGGAAAAAAAAATCTATCGGAATGCATCAATAGTAGTTACTGTCTTTTGATGCATAAGTATGTTAAGCTTTTTTTTTGTAACTTTTATATCAAAATTGATCTTTTAGTCCTAAAGAAAGCATTTATAAATGCAAATTAATGTTTTATAAGATGGCAAAGCACTGTTTTACCTATATAAAACATTAAATTGATGGCTAGCACTGTTTCTCTGTTCTGTATCAATGCAAAGAATGTGACACCTCAGGATATAGTGTAAATCAATGCTAATTCATCTCATTTGGACAACTCACCATAAATGAGGAAAAATGAATTACGGTATAGATTTTCACAGTAGCTGAACATCTAAAACTGTATTCTTTGGAGACATACCTGGATCATTTGTTATCCTGTGCAGTTCTCCAGATACTATCATTAGAAGTAATGCCTTTAATTGATGCAACTTAACTTTTGGTTCTGAACAACATATCCAGTAACATGTTACAGCCACAGGAAGTTGTAAGTGACTGGGGATAGATTCTAGGAAACCCATTTTCACTCCCAGAGTCTCCAGCAAAAGCATCTGACGGCATGACATGGGCACCTGAAAATAAAATAAAAAATTGGAGTGGAAAAATACAGGTAAGAGACTTGCTGAAAGCAATTGCCAAAAGGCAAATAAGCTTGTGTTTAAACTAGCTAGTACTTCATGTTTTCGATAAATTATTTAAATTTCACAGATGTTCTGAACAGGAAATATTTTTTTTAAATACTACTTAAGCTTCAAAAATGACACAGCTGAATGTTAGGTAGAAGGATAAAAGTAATTTTTTACAATTGCCTGAGGTTAGATTTTAGAGGTTTCAGAGTTGTGTTCATATCAGGCGACTTAATTTAAACACCTATGTAAAAGTTGACTTGCCTGGAAAATCTTATAACCATAATGCATTAAAATTACTTTGGTATGGCAAATATATAAATGCCATAAATGTGCATGTGTGTGTATATATATATATATAAAAACACCTTCATTTTGTGCCTCTTAGAAGTTAGACTTGGTTTGTGAGATGTAATGGTGATGTCTGTTCTTGGTATGTTGAAAACACTCTTGCCTGTCATCACAATGAAATCTTAAGTGTGAAGCTGCCATTTTTCACCTGTAATGTGTTAATTCCTAGCACAGGTTCCCTCTTTGTTGTGCTATTTAACTTCTAAAAAGTGGTGTTATAAACTTTGTCCATAACTTCATGCATGCAGCAGGCTGTTCAATTGTAATTTGAGTGCTTTGTGAACCTTGATTAGGATGGTTTTGCTTATTCTTAGGCAGACATCCCTACACTAGAAGACAAACTGAATCAGTTTTGCCTAGAGCACTTTTAAATGCAGAATAACCTTTCTTCTTCTAACCTTGTGTTGAATTGATAATTCCCATATACTTAGTAGTGAGAGTTGTTTTAACAGCGGAAGCTCAAATTCATTAAACAAACAGCATACATACCAAGACCAAATTAAGATGTCATTAATGTTTCTTAAAATCCCAAAACAAGAGTTTGAAAATTCATAAGTGTTTGCATATCACTCATTTAAAAGGCCTGTAACAATAACCTGTGTAAAATAACCTGTACATAGGCCTTTGGATCCATAGCTATCTGTAGCATTTAATGGTCCTAGTAGTGATAGACTTGGTTCTTATACGAAATGGCCACCAGCAAGTGATAAAAACATACAGCACAGCCCACACACAGAGTTGTGTTAACAGTTGATCTGAATGCCAGAATGGACAGAGCATGTGGCTTTAAAGATGGAGATTGTATTGCCGCTTGTTTCAGAAATTATTGCATACAAAACCTCAGTTATGCAATTTTGGGAATGGGAAATTACTTTCCATTCACAGCAAGAGTTACAGTCTTAATCATTAGAATTTAAATATACAGAATTGCTAATGGTGACTGGAACTAACCTAGTACCACTTTCCTCTGATTACAAGCTGTTTTTCAGGCGCTGTTCTGTCTGGCAAGCAGCAGGGGTCCACATTAGCAGGATGCATACTTGCGGCAGGTAAAATTGCTGAGCAGCTGCAAGATTCATACATGAAATAATGGTGATTTTTAGTAAAAAAGCATGGGTCAGATTTTGTTTCAGAACATTGCTCTGAAACATCCATAGCTCGATCAAATAGAAACTAAGTTTTGTAGTGTTAAATTGCACTTTTCTAAATTTCATGGAACTGAGTTACTTCCTATAATTATAAAAGCAAGTATTAGTGTAACAGAATACACAGGATGAAAGAAGGGCTTAAAATAGAAAATTTAGGCAATACTACATATACCCACAACCAATTTTTCATATAACTTGTCTTGGTATGCTTGGGGAAGGCAGGAAGGGAAAGAAGATAAAGACAATCTATGTAGTTTCTCAAGTATCACAAGCGAAGCTCAGAGCCCTGTAGGTACCTCTGTATTAAGTAGTTACTTACTGAGGTGGCTTAGTTCAGGCATCACATTTAGGACCAGTTGGCAAACATGAGTCCCAACTATTTTTTGTCACTTGTGAAACACTATCTGTTGTGACAACCATTTACCTCCATTAACTTGTCCAAAGGAAAATGATCATCACAAAAATCTGTGGGTAGGCTTGCTGCTTGAACAGATGTTTTTTTAAGTGTCTTTTGGAGTCTGTCAAATTCACATACAACTGGCAGCTCGTTGGTCTGCTTACTTGGAGAAGCAGCTTCAGTATTTTGAGACACTGTCAGAAGCAGTCCATAGATAACTTGTCGAATGGGCAAAGCTGCGCTATGTGCGCTAGGTCTCTGCATGTTCTCCACCTGAACATGGAGGAAGGTACTTCTGAGTATCAGGGCATCGCTGATGAATGGGGCCAGCTTACCTTTTGCCAAAGCATCAAGTACCCACTGCGGTAAGTCTGTTTGCCTGGCAGCCTCACAGTCATACTTTCCGTTTTGAAAAAAGTCCTCAAGATTCACATCAGACGGAGTATAATCCTCCATTGAAGTGCACAGAAGCTCCCTTACTTCTTCCCTCTGGTGTTTCTTAAGGTATTTCAGCACGTTGTCGACAGCCTCACCCCCGCCCCCAGCGATTTCAGCAGCCCCTGAAGGCGGCCGTGCTTCCCCCCCTTCCCCGCCGCCCACCCCCTCGGCAAGCGCACCCTGCTGAAGAACGCCTCCAGAGCTGCCAGATCGATATGGTCGTTCCCGCTCATGACGGCAAAGAGAGGGAGCA